CCATATCTTCTTTCTTTAATCATAGATGTTCTCACTAGACATTTGCAAGAGGTTGTACCTTGGTATATGCTTTTTGCTGATGATATTCTTCTTGTTGATAAGACTAGAGAGGGAGTTGAAAGTAAACTTTAATTATGAAGGTCAACCGCACTGTCTAAAGGCTTTCAATTGAGTAGATCTAAAACTGAATATATGGAGTGTAATTTTAGTAATAATAGGTTTAGTGGGAGGATTGTGACTTTGGGCGTTCAAGTCATTAATAAGAGCACACATTTTAGATATCTTGGGTTTATTGTTCAGAGTGATGGTGAAATAGATGGGGATATTTTTAGTAGAGTTCAAGTTGGATAGTTGAAGTGGATGAATGCATCGGGCCTGTTATATGATAGAAAAGTCCCTCTCAAACTTAAGAGAAAATTCTATAAGATGGTGGTAAGTCCTACAATGGTTTATGGTGCAGAATGTTGGCCATTAAAAGAGAAACTTAATATTAAGTTGTGTTGCAGACATGAGGATGCTCAGGTGGATGAGTGGCTTTACTCTTAAAGACAGGATATGAAATGAGCATATACGTGAAAAGGTTGGGGTAGCTCCAGTGGAAGATAAAATTAGAGAGAGTCGCCTTAGATTGTTTGGTCACATAAAACGGTGGCCTTCTGATGTCCCGGTTAGGAAAGTAGATGTATTAGATTTGACTTATATTAAGAAAGGTAGAGGTTGACTTAAAAAAACTTGGTTAGAAAATATTAGAAATGACCTTTCTTTATTAGATTTAAATGAGAATTTGACCCTTAATAGGACACAATGGAGAAAAATGATTTATGTAGCCGACCCAACATAGTGGATAAAGGCTTGTTATTGTATATAACAGTTTACCTTTTATGTTTTCTCTGAATTCTCTAACAGCAAATAAACTGCCATTATGTGCTTTATGTTTAGCTATACCTATAACCCTATGGAACTTTTTTTTTTCTTTATTCTTTTTATTGTTAATTGACTATGTTATCACTTTCGACATCGACTATCTTAAAAGTATTCTAATTTTACTGTGTGAAGATCATAACATACATTTTCTCTCTTTTTGTCTAAAGATTGGGTCTTATTATAGATTTTGCCATTACTAATTTTTATTACTCATTTGATATTTTGCATGAGTTACAATCCATAATTTTTTTTTTTAATATATTTTCTCAAGCATAGAGATTATTTATTGTTTCCTCCATTATTAAAAATTGGCTTTCATGTCAATTTTGTTAATACTTGTTTGGTGCTCATTGGATGGATTACATATGCCACAATCCTAAAAATATTCTCTTATGATAATTTTTGAAGTATACATCATCTTAATGCATCAAGAACATATAGGGACACTTTGTTGAAATATAGAGTAAAATTTGTCATTAAAGTACATTTTTTTCATGTTGTCACAGATTTTTAATGAAATATCTACACTTTGTTTTGAGATAAATGAACAATATATTAGTTAAAAATGAATCTTTTACTTTTTTGTTTCTCCATTTGACTTCTCTAAGCTCTATTGCAAGCTGTTAGTGTTGTAATGTAATTGGAGTGTTCACTCTTTCTTTCTTTATCTTGATTTGAGCCAAAAGATGGATGCTCAACTCAACCGGTGTAGCTAGTGTTTGGGGTCAATAGTTGGGGGTCAAGGGGTAGCCAATCACTTGGTATAAAGCTGGCCAAAGAAGGATATAGCCTAAATGCTGGTTAAAGACAAGTCGACCAATTATGGGGCATAGGTTTTGATCGTGGATCTAGGGATTGATTGGGTGGGACTCAGAACTATGGTTATGTGGCATGGGTATAGGGGGTCTAAGGCTAGGGTTAGCTTGATTGATGCATCACAAGGTCATGTGTAAGTAAATAAAATGGGACAAGTTTGACTAAACCCAGGCTTGGACCATGGGTCCTAGGTGAGTCCCTTAGGTTTAGGTTTGTAAGTAGGGCTGAGGTAACCTATGTCTTGGGTTGAGTGAGCCTAAGATGCATTGGATTTAGGGGGAATTAGTCCAAATGTGTAATTTTGACCCTTTTTGAATTATTGTTGACCTAATGTTTGACCAAGGTTCCAAGGTAGGTTCCCTAGGTTCTAAGAGAGGTGTGGGTGAGTCTTAGGGGTGCTAGGTGTGCTCCAGTCCACTAAGTTCCATTCTAGGTCATTCCAATTTTAGATCTATGCCACTAGGCTAGCTTGCTCGAAAAGGTTTTCTTAGAGTCTATGCTAGATTAAGGGTGACTCATAAGGACAACGTGTCTCCCTAGCTCAATCTAGATTTGAGTGAATTCTAGGGTATGCTAAAGAAGTAGGGACCTTAAATTTTGATGTTCAACTTAAATTTTATTTTTGTCATAAATCATGATGTTGTTCATATTAGGGAAGAGTTCACTAGGGTAGATGGTATGAGTTTGAGTCTAGCCTTCCTTAAAAATAAATTAATATTCACTTGCTCCCTTTATAGTTCATCCAGCTCCATGAATCGTGTATTGGCTTAATTGACATTAATTTGAGCCACTTTAGGTTAGGTTCTCACGATTTGGTTTATCATTAGGCTATATTAGCTACATTTTTTACCTTCTGAGGTTCAATGGATTTTAGTCACACCTAATTGTTGCGTAGTGAGATTATAAAGATCCAAATGCACAAGTAATTATGCCACATTGAGCCAGCTGATTCAATTAGGCAAAGCTTAATTTTATTCACTTTCTATGGGATAAAAATTTTATAGTGGACTGAATATATCCATAGGATTGGTTCAGAGTGAATGCACTAACCTTTGGATTTGGATAGTCTTGATTGAGTTTGTTAACCTCAGATTGATTAAGATTATAGATGGATTGAAATACTTGAGAGGATTCATCTAAGTCCCTAGGGCTAATATTAAATCAACAACATTCATTGCATAAAAGATTTAGTGTGGTTTGGTGGATTTCAATCTTAATAAAGGCTTGTTATTTAGTGAAAGCACATTGAAGCCACTTGCCACTTTGGGATCAACCCTGGCTTGACCTTTTTAGAAGTTGACAGTGACTTCATTGACCCAATATCTCTGAATGCATACATGATAATAATGATTGATTAATTACAAAATTTATTGATTCATATGAAGATAATGATTTAGTGTTTGCTGAATAAGAGTAGTGTTGCGAGAGCTATTTATATTTATGAAATAATTACAACAATTGAGATGAATTTGAAGGAAAAGAAAAGGAATATTCATCTATAGTGTACAACACTTGTAAATGAATATGAAATTTATGGAGGTAATGAAGAATATTATGATTGGGAGATGAAAATGATGGAGGAGAGATTGTTTTGGTTTATGATGTAGATGAAAATTCTTTACATGATTGGTTTATATTTTGATGAGCATGAGATTTTTGTTTTTTAATTTTTTGAGCGAAAGATTTAAATTTATCTAATTGTTCTAATATTATGCATTCTAAAGGCCATGTTAATTTTATTTTTATATTTAATTTCTTTCTTTGCTGTGATTGTTTATTTTCAACGTGTTACTCTTTCACAAACCGCCTTGTATGCTAAAACAATCTTAGTTTGTGCTAATTTTAAATATATATCATGCTCTGCGCTATGACTCCATGACACTTGCATTGGTGTGCCATTTACAATTGACAAATATGATTTTGATTTAATTATAAATGATCCAGCACTATCAAAAGTCAGGATAAATAATGTCTCTGCCACAGTATGTCTTTTGGATTGGCTTTGTGGTTGGAGTTGGGTACTTATGTTCATTGTTAAATGCTCATGTTTGAAGCATGACCATTAAACAACATCGAGATTCACTGAGTAAAGAAGAGAACTTGGAGACTTGAACTAAGCATTGAAAAGATCATCTCTTTAGGAAATATAAAGTAAGACATTTGAAAATTTTACCATTAACTTATAAGAACGGAGAAACCCGTATCCATGCGTGTATCTTGATTTCACTGAAATAAAAAAGATTGGTGGTTGAAACATAAAAATATTCAGAATGTGTAAGGATGCATTTATAAGATCAAAATATGACAATAACAATAAATTCCAATATCAAAGAAAATCAAACAGTTCAGAAAAAATAAAAATGTTGCTATATATGATGCAAGCTACATAAGTGCTTTTTAATCCCCTTTTGTTTAATGCGAGTTCTATGGAAGTACGAATAAAAAGGTTTGAGTGCAAGGACTTCTTATTCATTGTACAGAATTTCACTGTACAGAATTGTCCTTTGTTTAATACCTGTTTGATATGGCTATCTTCTGTTGTGCTGTGCATAGAGACGTGGAAGCTGCGAAGTGTATGGCTGTTTGTTTAAGTTAAATCAAGATTGTTGTCTAGAGTGTTGTAGGAGTTGTCTTTGTTTGTAAAAAAAAATATTATAGCATTGTCTGAGTTGATTGTATGACCATAAACGTTATTATCATGAATTTTATATAATTATTTTAAAATGTTTTAATCATTGTTAACTTGTAATTAATTAATTAAATAGGAGAGCTAAAATCTATAATTGTTTTCTTATGTGAAGCCTCTTAAGCATACAATTGAACTTTTTCTCATAGTTATTCTTCCAAACATCTTAAAATTACTTTTGTTCAAGAAAGAAGTAGCAGTCAGCCAGAAATTATGCTAAAGGAAAGCTCAATCAAGCAGAATACCTGTCATCTTGTTTTTTTTAGGTATTGTTAGAATTATTTATTCCTTCTAAAGATTTAGTTTAGAAGTTATTGAAGAAAGATTTTATTTCTTGTGAATGCTTTTGTCTATTTACAACATTTTACAAAACTTAGAAAAAATGGCATCCTATGCCTTCTTTTTTACATCTAAAATTATTTTTCCCACTAAAATTTTATTTTCTTCATGAAAGAGGATTCAATGTTTTTCTTGATCGTGCTGTTCTTATCTGTCTTGGCTTGCTGATTGCCATTTTTCACCAAATAAATTTAAATTTTACATTAAAGCTAACATTTTGTGCACATGGCTGTAGCGGATCAAAACACACCAGGCAATTCATCTCCAGAGGTGAGCTTAAATAGTCTGCATTTTTTCTGTTTGAGAATTGAAGAAGTTTTACTTGTCTGCAGTGAGACTCAACTATTTCTAAATTGACTGCAATTACTCTTAAATAGGGAAAGAGCTCGCTTAAATCATCAGTTTTTCCAACTGCATCTTACATGAAGTCCTCAATTACTTTATCTCCACCAGCAGTTAAGGTGGATTATCCTTCCTCCTCAAGGAACTGCTTTACTCCCTCTGACCCAACTTCTACAAGAAAGGCCTGCCGTTCTCCTGGTTATCAACTTTGTAGACAAATCTCTGATAGCAGGATTCCATCTCTCAAGTCCCTGAATGAAGGCAGTTCTCCTGAAGTAGGCAGGCACTCCTTTGTACTTAGCAATGAACTTTCCGCAGGAGAATCTCATGGTGGTTCATCCGATGGATGGTCCATGCGCACATTCTCAGAACTTGTGGCGTCTTCTCAAAGAGAAAGGTGGTCATTTGACAGTGAAAATTTCACTTCCATCAACAAGATATTTGGGCCTACGCCTACTTTGCTGCCAAAAACTAGCAGCTACTCTCCAGATCAGCAAACCTGTTGTATATGCTCAAAGCTATTGAAGGAGAAATCACCATGGTGCACTCATAAGTTAGTCTCAACAAATGATCTTCCTATTGTTTCAGTTCTAGTATGTAGCCATGTATACCATGCTGAGTGCTTGGAGAGTTTAACATCTGAGATTGAGATATATGACCCGCCTTGCCCACTGTGTGCAAATTATGGTGACAGGCCTCCACTGAAACAATTTGGAAAATTTGAGCTGAAGGGAAGAAATAAAATCTCACGAATTGCAGTTGCTGATGCTGATGTCCCCCGAGATTCTATTTCTAATGACCCCATTATGGGAGCCAGTTCCAGTACGAAGAGCTCCTTTGGTAAGCCATTTCTGAAGCGGCATTTCTCCATTGGGTCGAGGCCTATACGTTCAGCATCAGAAAATGCAACAACCAGAAAGAAAGGTTTCTGGGCAAAATACCGAAGAGAATGAGTATGTTCACCGTCGTATAAATGTAAGAATTTCCTGAAATTCTTTAGAATTATATGATCTACCATGTCACTCCTGGCGTGATGCCATAGCATAGCTGTTTGTTAATTAATCCATAAAATCCTCTTGAACCGATGGAAAGGAAACGTGCATATTAGTATGAAAAGTAATTTAGGCCACAGATTAGAATTGTTGGCCATTTTTTGTTATTATATTGAGGACTTTATTGCAGATTAAACGACTGTGTGGGAAGGGGCTTAGTTCAGAACTGTTGCCATTATACTTTTTTCTGCGTTGATGCACATATTGAGAAACTCCGAATGGAAATCTTTACCATTGTTGGAGATGATGCAGCTTCACAACAGAGGTTTGCAGTATGGAATGTTGAGAAAATAGAATCTTCTTTTTTATAATGTGCTGATAAATCTGTACTAAAGCAAAGCTAATGAGGCATGTGATACATGCATTTACTTTTATATTAGAGATTATATAGGTGTCTTTACTTGTAAAGGCTCTCCAAGCAATTTCTAATTCATTGGCCACATTTTAATAAAACCAAATAAAGAAATGATGAGGTTCTCGTTCAATTTAACTAAGCTCCGAACCAACAACAAAATTGAATTTGAAGCTTTGGTGGTGTCTCAAGATCGCTATTTCAAAAGAAATTTAGAAGATTCACATCTTCAACGATTCTCAATTCATCATTTATTATTATTATTATTATTATTATTAATTTCTCCAAGTCTAGAACAATTACAAATCCCAGGAAACTGCTAAGTAAACTAAGCTGCAATGAAAGAATGAATGGGACCATCTCTATTTATGGGGAGGAATGAATGGCCCGTAGGCCCCACCCTCAATTATGAAATATTTATATAGATAAAAATTATAATCACCGAAAGTTGGAGATAAACCACAACTTCTATCAATATTTATAAAACCTATGCACTAATAAAAATTAATATCATCAAAAGATAAAAGATAGGTCTAGCGGGCCTTGTCTACTTGATTAAAATCTACGTACAAATCAAAGTCTTCTACACTATGACATAGAGTATCTAGAAAGGAAAAACTTTATCTTTTTTAATAACACAAGATCCATAACACACATATAAGCGGATAGAAATAAATTCTTTCAAACTCCAAAATGAAACTTTCTGCACATCCTTGCAGTCAGGGGCGGATCCAACTTTTTCAGGGTGGGCAAAAAAATTTTTTTTTTTGGTGGGGGATGGGAAAAGACGCTTATGATTGATAAAATTAGGGAATTTTTTTTTGAGATGGGGCAAAATATCAAAAATATATATTTCAAAATATCCCCTCTAAAATTTAATATATTTTTTAAGGGTGGGCATTTAACACCCCCCCCCCCTCTCAACACATGGGGGATCCACCCATGCCAGCAGTAAACTCATACGCCAATGCTCAAGTTTAGATATTTTAAAATCCCACAAATCTTAAAATATAAATTTCAAATTCAAGTATGCTACCTTGAGAAGTATGTCATCACCTCCGCAAGATACATATAACAATCTCGAGAAGAATACAAGAGCATCAAGAAGTTGTTACCGCCATGAAAAGTAAGTCACTACCTTGAGAAATGTAAAATAGCCTAACAATATGCACTGCATCAAAAATTATTTAAGCATATATTGCAAATGCATCGGAATACGTATATATACATTGTGTATATGCACTAGAAAATAAGCTCATTATTTAAAAATAAATTTAAATTGCTCACATGTGCTCTGATAAACATGCTAATATACAAATTACAAATGTCCGAGAATACTACGCAGGTTTAAAAGTACTCTAAGTCAAAATCATATTTCTAATTCCTTGCCTGTGCTCCAATAAATATGATACGTTCAAAAATGCTGCATAAGGTTAAAAGCATGCTAATTCAAAATCTTATTTTAAAATTAATCACTCTCAGGTGCTTTGACCGCCATATTGAACTCTCCGAGAATGCTATGCGGATTGAATATGAACCTAAACCAAAAGTTAGAACCACAATCACCTGTAATTATGAAATATGTATATGGATAAAAATTATAATCACCAAAAGTTGGAGATAAACCACATATCTTCTATCAATATTTATAAAACCTATGCACTAATAAAAATTAAAATCATCAAAAGATAAAAGATAGGTCTAGCGGGGCTTGTCTACTTGATTAAAATCTAAATACAAATGAAAAGTGTCTACACCATGACATAGACTACCTAGAAAGGAAAAACTTAATCTTCCTTACTGCCACAAGATTCACAACACATATAAATGAATAAAAACTAATGCTTTCAAACTCCACAATGAAACTTTGCGCACATCCCAGCAGTGAACTCACATGCCAATGCTCAAGTTTAGATATTTTAAAATCCCACATGATAAAATATAAAATTTAAATTCAAGTATGCTGCCCCGAGAAGCATGTCATCACCTCCTCAAAATACATGTACAATCTCGAGAAGAATACGAGAACCCCGAAAAGTTGTTACCGCCTTGAAAAGCAAGTCACTGCCTTGAGAAATGTAAAATAACCTACCAATATGCACTACAACAAAAATTGTTCAAGCATGTAATGCTAATGCATTGAAATACGTATAAATACATTGTGTATACGCACTAGAAAATAAAATCATTATTTAAAATAAATTTAAATTGCTCAGAAACAAACATACTAAATATACAAACACCAATGTTCGAGAATGCTGCGTGGGGTTAAAAGTACACTAATTCAAAATGATATTTCTAACCAATTCCTTGCATGTGCTCCGATAAACATGATAAATTTGCACACACATTTAAAAATGCTACATAGGGTTAAAAGCATACAACAACAACAACAACAACAACAACATATGTAGGGTTAAAAGCCACTCATCCACCTGAGCATCCTCATCTCTGCCACACTTAACTTAGTATTATGCTTCACTTTTAAAGGCCAACATTCGGCACCATAAAGCATTGCAGGCCTCACTACCATCTTATAGAATTTTCCCTTAAGTTTGAGGGGTACATTTCTATCACATAACAAGCCTGATGCATTCCTCCACTTCAACCATCCAACTTGAATTCTGCTGATAATATCCCCATCTATTTCACCATCACTCTGAACAATAGATCCAAGATACCTAAAACATGTACTCTTATTAATGACTTGATCGCCCAAAGTCACAATCCCCTCACTAGGACTATTACTGCTAAAATTACACTCAATATATTCCGTTTTAGATCTACTCAAGCGAAAACCTTTAGACTCTAAGGTTTACCTCCATAATTCAAGTTTACCTTCAACTCCCTCTCTAGTCTTATCAACAAGAAGAATATCATCAGCAAAAAGCATACACCAAGGTACATCATCTTGCAAATGTCTAGTGAGAACATCCAAGACTAAAGCAAAAAGATATGGGCTTAAAGCTGATCCTTGATGTAACCCAACCGAAATAAGGAAATACTTGGTCAAAACACCTTGTGTTTGAACACAAGTAATAGCTCATGCATAAATAT